CTCTGATTTCTACTTTGACCCGTCAAATTTCAAAAATAATGATTGTAATTGTCCCCAACACATTTCAAACTTATTGATATCCATACATCCTTTTTTTATTTATATTTACCATTCGTATATTTCAAATATCAACATTTTAATGCTTTACATTGTGAATTTTTTCAGATATTCTTTAGTTTATTCTTTATCAAAATTTAGAAGCTACATTTCTTTAAATTTTGTTTTTTCTTCGGGTGCAAACCAATCGATATAATTAATACTTGTAAAAATTTCGCTTCTTGTTGTAAAAATTACAAGTGGGTCTGACCAATTTTATTTAACTTTGTTATTTATGTATAAATTTTTCTATATATTCTCTAGTTTCATTTCATCATAACTGTCCATGATTAATAAAAACCGAAATTCCTTCTTTTCCAGCTTTTCTTTACATTCCTTCAATTAAAGAGCATCAAAACCATAATCATCTGAAAGAAGTGTTTCCTCTACTGCTTAAAAAACTGGATTTTTTAAAGAAGGTAATGAGATATAAATAGGTATGAGAACTTGATTGCCAATTTTTTTATTATTCTCATGTTATTTCCATATAAACTCTTCTATTTTCTTTGCTGTTGTACTTTTACCTGATCCAGCTATCCCATGAATTAGGATTACCGTTTTTTCTTATTATAAAAACTCATTCACTTCTCCTCCTTCATTATCGAATTAGTCTAAACTCATCAAATTACTTTATTCCTTTTTACCTTAATCTTAAGTTTTTAATGGCACATAGATGGATTTAACATTTTTATATGCTGCTTCTTTCAATACTTTCCATTTTCTAATTTCTAGCAGTTATTCAACCGATTTTCCTCTCAAAAATTTAATGTCATTGCCCATACTATTCAGTTACTCTTTCATTTCATTTATTTTCCCCTCAACTCTTAACAACCCTTTTCTGATATGATTAACAAAATCAGTTATCAATCTTAATTATTAACCCATTTCACTAATATTTCCTATATATTCATCTAATTGCTAAGTTGTTTCATCCAATTCTTTCAGCTGCAGATCACGTTTGTTCAGATTAGCCTCATGAGAAATTTCTTCCTACAATTAATCGATTCTCTTCAACATTTATTGCATTTCTCCTGCAATTCTATCGTGTTAAGTCTACCAATCTTTCTTCAAAATCTACATTTACATATTAATTAAATTTTTATTTTTTAATAGATTTCTTACTCTCTAATCTTTTTCTGAAACCCACAATTTGATTAAAGTTTTCTAGCAAAATGAAATAATTGTATCTGTAAAACAATTCGATGAAATCTAGATTAAAGTAAATACTAGGCCCTATTTAATTTTCCATTCTTCATTATTGTTAAAATCTTTCAAGCTTTGATTTAAAGTATCAAATACACCTAATTTTTGATTAGATTTTTCGTCATATTCTTCTACTTCATTATCTTACAAGTAAAGTTTTTTCACTTATTCTATCATAAATTCTTATTCAATTGTGGTGTTTAAAATATACCTTTTTTTTGATAATTTGGCTAAACAATACGACTTTAAAGAGTTGAGAAAATCAGAAATATTCGTTTATTTTTTACTCATCTCTGTATCTTTTGCTCCCTTAGACAAATTAGATGAGATTCTTTCAAAGTATAGCTCAAAATTTTCCTCTTCCTTTTATTATAAATCGAATTTAGTCATTGTTAATTACTCAAAGTTTTTAGTAAGTTCGGAAAATCGATCTTAAAACTTTTATTAGAATTTAGTTTAAATTTATTATTGATATCTTTGAATTTGGTTAAGTTTATTAGAGAAAATATTAATTTCTTCAAGTAATTTATTTAATATCTCCTTCTCTTCTTTTATTTTTTATTATTATAATTTTGTCACTTTAATAATATATAATAAGTAAGTACTGCAATTCTCTTTCATATAAAATTTAAATTTCTCTCCATTTTTTTCAACAACAGCACGATCATCTTCTTAATTTTGATCAGTTTCTTTTTGTTTTTCTATTATTAAAGACAATTAAATACCTTCATTTTAGTTAGTTTTGTTATTGACTAATTGATATTCTTTCTCCTTTAATTCTTATTGATATTAAAGGATAGTGCTTTAATAATCCTCAGATTAAAGTTTGTATTCACTTAGTAAGCTTTATAAAATTGTTAACTCTTCACTCATCAACATAAAAAAAAAATCCTTATCTATATTTTCAAAGGTTTGCAATGTTTTAATCACTACGTTTGTTTGGGTGGCTAATTAATTCAAATGGTCAATCTCTCTCTAATTTATGTTAGAATATTTGCTTAGATCTTGTATTTTCCCTAATTCAATCAAGAAATTTTCAAATTTTTCTTTCTGCAATCTCAATTCTGATAAATTAAATTTTTCCTCATTCACATTTTTTTATAATTTCTCAATAGGCAGGCTTTCAATAATTGATACCATATACTTATAGGAATGAGATTCTTCAATAAACAACTCTCCAAATTCCTTCTATATTAATTCTAAATCTAATTCTTCTTAAGCAATTGTTTATTCTTCTATTGACAAATGAAATTATAGACATTCTATCAAACCTTTCTACTTTGATAAGTTATTGTAATAGTCTTATTCATTGAATTATACACTTTTTAATTCAGCAGAAGTGAATTTGTCTAGATCACTGTCACACTTAATGATTCTTTTTGGGAAATCTTTAAATACCGAAATTAGAAACTCATCAAAATTGATAAATTCTTGCAATTTCGATAATTCTTATAAGTTTGTTTATTTTAAGATATTTAAAAAAGACTTTTTGAATGTATCTAGGTTTAAATGTAATTTTAGATGCTTGAACCTTAAGTTTTAAATATATTAAACCAGCGACCTATCAGAAAATGCTAATTTAATCTTGTTAAGATCTCCTGTTTTTGGGAGTGCCTCAATTTCATATTTGATTGGAATAATTTCCTTAAAAAATAACTTGGACTCATTATTATCATTTTTAAGTTCTTAGTTTATAGTTTCATAGTATATATAAAGATTATTCAACTAATACTCAAAAAATGAAATGTGATTATTTTATTATAGTAAAGAATTTTCAACCTTTTCTAATTGTTTCCAAGAATTAGTAATAAATTGTATCAGACTTTAAGCTGCTTCCAAAAATTTTGGTTAGCTCAGAGTAGCAGCCGGTAAAGCCAAAAGTTTCTTCTTCAAATTTTCAAGTTATGAAATTTTAGTTTCCAATTCAAGTTTACTTAATTAATCTTAAACAAATTCTTTCTACCTCCAAAGTTCTTCCCTTTCAGCTGTTTCATCATTTTGATTTAATGATTGATCTTTTTATTATTCATTCATCCTATCCTTAAAATCTTAAATTAATAATTATAATATTTATTCTAACATTTTCATCAAATATTTAAGTTATTATAAATTATTGAATTGAACAATCTATTTCTATTTAAATTATTAGATCTAAAAATGTTATTTCCATAAATTAAGCCTAATAATTTTAATAATTTTCTGAATGTTTTATAAATATTCTTTGAAGTTCTGAATGATTTAATTTATTTAGACATGATAAATTTTTTATTATATTTTTTCAGTCAACTGAGTATTCTTTTTCATAAAAGCTCGATAATTTTTAATTATCACACCTAATTTTTCATAATTTTCTTTAATTAAAGTTAGTAATTTATTTGAAATAATGAAATCAAAAAATGTCAAGATTTTTCCAATCAAAATATTTTCGTCTTTTTAGGGTTCAATGCTTCCTATTTTTAATTTGATTTGTAAATATGATTAAAATGTG